ATGAATGTGAAAACATCCTTCTGGAGTCAAACTCTGCACATACATCATTCAAACAGCACACTGTAGGGACAAGAAAAACAGATTTTTTTTTACAGGAGGGGGACTATAAGTTTCCGTAGAGATGTTGCAAGAGTCTACGTGCAAAAATTAATAGATGGCCTATATTCACCTGACACCTGTAAAAGGTTTATAATGAATGTAGCGCAGAGCAGACACCTTGCAACCCAGTTGTCCACTGGTGCAGTGCAAAATTGATTTGCTCTTATGACAGATTTAGAATGAGCAGCATTTATCTTCACGGCCAAATTCTGACCGGGTCTATGACTCAAAATGCAGGCTCTGCTTCAGGATGGAATATTATAGCTGTGTATAATATGTTTAAATTATGCATAATTGCAGGCTAAGAAAAGAAAACATTGCATTTCTGTAAGTCTTTTTTGGAAGTGGCTGAAACAGGCAAGAGAAAACAGGTAACAGGGCTTTGTGTTATTAAACATCACAACAAATTTCTTATTTCTGCCATCCTTTATCATTTTGAGCTTTCATTTTTCTTCAATTCAAAGCCATTATTGGAAAAGCGTCACAGAGATGGATGTTTAAAGCACAGAGTAGCTTGTCAGATGAAGAATAAATGGCATCCTTGCTGTCAATCTGAGCTTTACCGTCATGTATCTACAGCTTTACTGCAGTTCTTTAATAAAAAAAAGAAGCTGCTGTTGAGCTGCTGATATCAAACAAGAGTTGAGCCGAGTGTTTGAGGGAGTGTGTTTCTGCACACACCAGGCTTTTGCAAACAAAGCCTGTGGAAATCGATGGCTTTGAAACATGCCTGGCTTGTTTCTCTTTAATCATTTCCTCTCATCTGCACTTAAGCCTGTCTTTGCAGTAGAGGGCAGGACCGTCTGACTGCTCCTGACTCGTTCCAAGAAGACAACAGTGAGTTGAGGAATATTTTTCAGTGTCAAGGTTAAATGTGCAGTTGCCGCTGGGCGGTGTCTTTAAGTTTTGCCGGTGACAGGAGCTGCCGGGTCACCTTGACTATCTGATTTAAAGTTAGCCCTCTGCTCAGCTTTTCCTGCCTCAGAAGTGACAGGGGAGCTGTGGTGCACTCTGCAGCTTCCGCTGAGACCAACCTTTAGTGCCTGACTGACAACAGGGGCAGACTGAGACAAATTTAATGCTTGCAACAAAATGAATCAGTCCAAAGTGACTTGGCTGTGCTCCAAAACACAGGTTTTATTCCACAGACCTACAGAAAGCCCTGTCTTATATTTATTTGGCATAGGAATATTGTTTCTGAGAGCATGAAAGAGATGAAAAAGAATGAGATGAAGAGAGGAAATTTAGGAGAGATCAAAGACACAGATGGTCTTTTCCGAGTACTGATTGCTCCTTATGCCTAATTGCACATCTCAAATATCATTCAAGCTTCTTTTAAAGTGAGAAAAGGATCATTTTTTTCCTCAGCACTATTAATTTCCTCCAAACTGAGACAAATTGAAGTTGATAACATGAAGTGCTGCGCAATGGGTAATACAAAAAGGGCATTGTGAAATAGTATGGAGGGGATGGTTAGTCATGGAGTCTATCGTCATAATGTTAGAAAGCAGAGGCAGATGGCTTTGAAGGAGCTCACTGACTTCCAATTCTTATCTAAACACGAGAATAATCTTGCGCAGTTTCCCCTGGCTGCAACATATCGCTCTTTCCTCCTACGGGTGGTCTCTCTAATACAATATTGAAAATCTTCTTTCTGTAGAATTTGTTTTAATCATATTATCCACAGTTCAGACTATTTCTTGGGTAATTCTTGCTTAATTAACATAATGAGTTACATTGAATAGCTCTTGGAGACAATCACAAAGTAAAGATGCCCTTTGGCTTTTGCGTTTACTTCTGTAAATATATTTCTTTAAGCAAAAAAGCTAAGTTGCGTTAGCATAATAGAACAAACCTGCTGCTCTGTGCTGAATGGAAATAGATTATCTAGATGAAAGTCAGGTGAAAAAGGTGTGGACATATTTTCCTTGAAACCTTCAGATAATACTGTAGCCAAACATTTACCATGAAAGATATTTACATTTTCTATATAGTAGTTTTCTTTGTTTGTGGTGGGGTCTGCCTCACAGGTGCTGGCTTTGACTCGTGGAAATATATGTGGAAAACTACTCGGCCATCATGTCCATCATGAAATCCCTTCAAGGTTGCTTATGGTATAGGAAGTCTTATTATTAACTTCTTCTTCTTCAAAAAAGTTATTTTGTTGTTGCCTGCATTGTTGGTCTTTTGTATTTCTGGCAGAGAAGCTGCTCAACAAGTGTTTGTTCCCCTAAAAATTCTGGGGCCTGTAGTATTAAACCATCAGCATGTCACCATCACCATCAAGATCACAAAAACAACCAGAACTAAAATCTTAAGGATTGTGATTGTTATTTAAGATAAATTAAAAAATAAGACATAAAGGACTAGAAAGCTGAAAGCAGAACAGGTAAAAAGACAGTTAAAGATAAAAGACAGTGGTTGTGAAACACCTTAAAGATGCCAATAAAACAGAGATTATTAGTACCAGCTCCCTTTATAGTATAGAGAGCACCTTGAAACTCCAATCTCAAACTAGAGAAAGGTCAGAAAATGAATTCTGAATGCCAGATACCTCCACACAGAGTGAGGTAATAGTTGAGTCATCGATATTGATCAATATTGCGATAAACCCTGCAGATAGGGCAGGGGAAACCAATATTACTGCACTCTCGGAGCTCCAGCTGCTTCAGTGGAGCTGCTCAGCCAACAGTAATAGATGACTGTGTTTTGTCTGTCTGAATAGGAAGCTGGGGACTGCTGAAGAAGAGCATCCGCGCTCTTTGGTTTTTCATGGGATAAAGGGTTGATAAAACAAAAAGAAAACAAAAACACAGTGCCCCTTCTCCTGAGAGCCCGCCTGACTGTAACAGGCTGAATATTTCATTGGGCCGACTCTCTGAATCAGCTCCGATTGCTCTGACAGAACAGAACTGTGGCTAGCCAAGCTCCTCCCCTCAGACCTGCACGCTTCCGCTTGCACGTCACCATATCTCCTGCGCGGGGAGGGGGGTTGAATCCTTGAAAATGGCACAGCCGAACTCAATAACCCTGCAGCGAGGGCGGGTGAGCCGGACTTTTGTGTCATAACTTCTTAAATTAACAATGAGCAACAATGTACAGAGCAGAATGC